TCTTTTAACTAACTGTCAAATACAAGTCTATTCAGGTTTCTGCGGATCCTAGTATTCCCGTTAATTCCCGGAAATTCTTAAGCAAATGAATCTATCAAGCAATTTTAACACAGAAATAATGGAAGTAGTTGTAAAAATCAATTATCGGAAATCAACAATTATCATGTACTAGCACTTCCCCACGACTTCGTCCGCGTACAATTTTTATACAAATGAAAAATATTCAAGTATGGAGCAAATCGCACCACGCGTTAAAATGTTACCATACAAACTTTATTACCCCATTTCGCCGCATTTTTGAAACACTGTCATGCCATTTTTTTACCATTTTTATTGTAAAATATTTATGCAAAGTTTCGTCTTTGTAATTTCAAGGAAAATTATTTTTCATGCAAACGTTTTTATCATTTTCGGAGAGACGAGACGAGACGAGACGAGAACAGAACAGAACAGAACAGAATAGAATAGATACAAAAAAAAAAATTGATACCACTTAGACAAGCAAAAGAAAACAAAAAGACGCAATTAACAAAATTAAAATAAAATGAAATAAGACAATAACAAACAAAGAGCAAAACAGAAAAATACTAAATATAACACTAAATACAACTACAAATGTTGTACTGTCATGTGTGCGGTTGTGGCGTATGCAAAAGGACTTCATTCAGCTTATGCCACAGCCGCAATTGACTGTGGCGCTGGTTTTCAATGAGCCCTGAGCTGAGATGAGTGACGGACGTGTGTGTAGCAAAATAAAATAAACTAAAATAAACTGCTTAAATAATTACGTATGTGTACTTTGTACGTTGTGTTAATGCTGTGTGTTATATTAATAAATATATATTAATAAATATATATAATAAATATACCTACTGTGTTATTGATAATATTACTAATTTCATTTATTTCCAACATTAAATGGAAGTATTAAAGATTCACTATAAATCATCAGTCACTGATATTAATTTTATACCAATGCATAAATACAAAAAAGCTTACACTATTTGGGAATTTGTTTAAAAATTTCTCTATGAAAATATGAACCTTGAGGTTGAAAATGTATAGGATTTACATTTCAAAGTTTTCTCTTTTTTACGTACTCTCAAATTACAAATATTATTTTTTTCTGTGCAAATTCAGTTTTCGTAATAATTGAGTATTTGTAAACGCAAACAATAAATTCAAAATTTCATGTGACATTCCCGGTTATTCCCATATACTTTAATTAAATGTTGGCATGTCTATAAGACTTATCGATAGATTATGGTACGACACTAATCCGCCATTTGATCAAGCAAGTTTTGTGTATGCAATTTCATTCCGTAGTTAGGGCAGCTCGTTTCTTTTATTTTTTTCCATCCTCTAAGAGGTCATGATACGAATTTAAGCAATTCAGTTTTACCACGTCAAGTGAATTGCATGGAACTTTGCTGGCAGCTTATAAGCTCATATAGGCCCCCAGGTCAATAAAACAAAAAAATAAAAAATTAAAATTTTTAATAGAGTAAAAAAAATGTAGTACTAAATGTCATTATTATATATTTTTATATTATACAATAATGAATTGCTAATAAATAACATTACAGTTCATATTTCAGTCACAGCTTTACTTTTTATATCTGACCGTTATGTATTCCACATAAACTTGAAGTATAGAAAAAAACTAAGTATTTAATTTTGTAATTTAAGTATATTTTACTAAATTGATTATAAAAATTCAAATTCTGTAGTTTGTTTTAGTATATTGAAATGATTTATTTTATGTCTAATACATCATGGCTGCATGCGTTTTTGCCATTTAAAAAATATTATCTACGGAAGAATTTTTAAAATTTTTTTTAATTGAATTTTAGAAAGGTTATCTGTTAATACCTAAGAAAAAAAAAACAAAAGCCCTATAGTTGCAAATCCATAATTGTTGTGCTCTAAACTATTTTTTTTTTCTGTCCTCTAAATTGTTGTGTTACATAAATATCGTTGGTTGTGAACTTAGGTTGTGAAGCGATATTTGTTTTTCCTGTTTTAATTTTGTAATAATTTTTCATTTCATTTTAAGAGGTCATGATGTACGTCAAGCCTTTTGTAACTTAGTATTAATCATTGACTTACAAATAAATGGACGACGGGTCTAATACAAAAACTACGAAAAAAATGTCCCAAGTCAACCTATTTAAACGTAGTGACATATAAAGGAATATGAAAAAGCTAAAACGTTGAATTTAAATTGAAATGTCATCGCAGTATCGCGCTGTCAGTCGAACAAATGAAGACTAAAGCGGAGTTTGACGCTATGTATATGATTTTAACGCCTTACAAGTTCGGACACTTTTTAGCGCGGACCCGACGTCCATATAATTGTAAGTCAATGGTATTGATATAATATTTATATCAAATATTAGTATCCATGTCCTCACATTAGATAAGCTATTCATACATTTTTACTTGTATAATGCAGTTAAGCAATTTCAATAATTACCTATGTAATGAAACGGTAACGGCATGCGTGGAAGGTTTAATAAAATCGTTGTTGTTTTCTAAATTCTTTCTTTTCGTTAAGGAAAAGGCAAAGGTTTAACCATGGTTTAACTTACATCTAAGTCTTGTAACTGTGACATTTTTAATAAATATTGAGGTTATTGAAAAATGTTCATTTAAAAAAAAAACATTTTTCATAAAAAAATATAGTTTCCTGAATATTTAAAAAAAATTCTGGTCCTACATTCTTTTTAAGTTCTGAAAAATGTTTTGAAAAATTTCCACGATTAGAAGTTTAACGGACAATTTATTTTATGATCTAGCCGCGTTGATCAAGTATACAACATAATGTGCGTATTATTACCTGTTGCTTAGCTCCCAGACCCCGCGTAAATGCGATTTTCAAATCAATCCAATGGTTGGCAATTTATTATGAGTATTTTAAATATTGAAATTAAACATTTATATCAGTTATATTTAATATATCACTATTTAGTGTTACATTCTTCGGGACGGTCCCTCCCCCGTTTCCAGAGCGCTCTCGTAGGTGAACGGGCCTTTGTTGAACTTAAAGTTGTTGTTGTGGCTCGCAACCACCTAGAGAAAATATTCCAATAATTAATAAATAACTAGAGAAAGACACGTTGCTCGTGTGAGGACCATTGTACTAGAAGGATACTGAAATGGAGACCGTAGGAAAGGATACGTAGAAGGGGCTGCCATGTGGAGAAGGTAACTTGAAAACTCATGATGACTTAAGTGTAAAAACGGAATTGCGTGTGTGGCGACTCAACCTAATTTCTGAGGATTACAACTTCGTAGATCCTCAAAAAGCAGATTGTTGTGTTTGTATCGATTCAAACGCGATAAAGACGCGCGGGAAAAGCACGTTCGCAGTCCGTCTGTATCGCGTTTTACGCGCGTTTGAATCGGTTCAAACGCGCGCAAACATCGCGTTGCAAGCAAAATGCTTATATAATCCACTGGAGTTTACACTTAGAATTTCATATAGTTCCTTCATTTCAAAAACTAACTGAAATTAGCAAACAAAACTAAAAACTACTTATTTCTTATCAAAATGCGCGATACGCAGACGCGTGTGTATACGACTACAGCGCGTCTGTGGCGCGTATACGCGCAGATGACGCACGTTTACGGCGCCACTGAATTTGCGAATGGGTAAAGGTTTACTCGTGGTTGAATCGGGTTTACGCGCGTCATCTACACGTCGTCGTCGGCGTGTATTAAATACGCCGTGTGTGTAGGCCTTTAAAGGATGCGCAATGCTGTAGATATAGTCTATATCATATGATTAGCATGTGGTATGTATGCTTAATAATATCATTATTTTAGTAAAATTACTTTTTAACGTACTTTATATCTATTACTTAGTTTTTAGTCCCGTGAGACCCGTCGTTTAATACAAAATATCTATGACTAATTTCGTATTATGCAAAGGTAAAAGATAAGCGACTCGTCTTAATGGTATTGAGGCTTAATTTTTGAGTTAGGAAATTCACATTGTTCTATTTACCTGTTCATTGTTGTCATATTCATTATCATCAGGGAAGTAATCTGCTCGGAACTGCGGCAGATCCTCGATGCCAATCAGGTCCGAGTCTCCGGATACATCACTGTTTGAAAATTTTAAGTCAATAAATAACCAGAAGGAGTGGTCTTTAATGAAAATGAATATAATTTTATTTCGTTGCGTCGTAACAGACAAGACGACACTACGGCTGCCGAGTTGACGTTGCCTCTGTGCGCATTGTTATAGCTCGGATTACGGTGGTGCTGCATATATTTGTTTTGTCCTATGTACTACTACATACCAGGGTTGTTACGGATGCAGGTTTTTACATACCAGTGGATGTTGATTTTATGTACCTATTTAAAAAAAAATCAAAAATTGTATGACAAGCTACACGCCTGTCCAACAGTGGCAGTGATCGCAAAGATCTGAGGGGCACTGCCACTGCGCCCGTCACCCTGAGACATAAGTTGACAAGTCCCATGTGCTTGTAATTTCGCCAGCATCCCTACCCTTCAAAACCGGAACGCAGTAATGCTAACATTACTGCTTGGTGGCACAAATAGGTAAGGTGGCAGTACTTCGCTCAATGAACTCTTTCTCTAGGAGCTCTACTATTACTAAATTTATCTACATGAAAAAACTTTCTATTTTCTTTGGTATTGTAATAAAATATTATTTCCAATTTATCAAAGTTATGGTCGAAACAACAGCGGAGTTGTTTTTTCGGTTTACAGTCGGTTTCTGGAAGGTTTGCAAATTATACAGCGTGCCATTTAGACCATGTCACGACTTGAACATCCGCAATGAATATTACCATCGATGAATCGGCTGATGCGGATAAAAGTATTTTAATTGAAAAATCATGTTACAAAATTGTAGACTACGTGTTAGATAAAGATGTATGGAAAAACAACGTGAGTCTAGATTCCACACAAATATGATTCAAAACATTTAAGTTTCTTTGAAAGTAGCAGTCCCTGGAGTTTCTTGCTTGTTCTTCTCAGGTAGGTCGGTGTAGTGATCGAGCAGTAGCTTCAAAAATGACGTTTTCAAGTGTAAAAATTTTACCTATGGAATAAATGATTATTTTACTTTGACTTTGTTCACCACCAGGCACACGATTTGTCTGTCTCGTCACGTAGTATCATAAAAAAAAAGCAGCAACATTTTTTGTTCACCTTTTGGCATCAAAGTCAGGTGTAAGGACGGTTGTGTTCCATACAGGATTAGATCCTTCGACGGTGTGCTTGTTAGCGCCAGGATAATTTCCCATGGCGCCCGCGCGTTCCTGGCCCGAATCAATAGACCCGAACCTCGTCACCGACATCGCTTTCAGGCGTGTATTTAAGCTGGAATGAGCAACGTACACAAATGTACCGGTTGAAGGGAAACCTATAACATACTACAATATATACGAGTATGTACTATAAAAACAAATGAAAAAATTGTGAATAATAGGTAGGTATTTATTTATATATCCGGACCTCAATCCAAGAATAATAGCTATAATAGCTCATTTGTGATAACGATAATGAAGACGTTGTGTAAATTTGCCAGTGTACTATATTATCACATATTTTGATAGTATAAGACAAGTATGGTAACTCCGTACAAACGCATGCGTATAGCGCGGCTTGCATGTGTGCACGCCCACCGCGCGCCGTGTACGGACGCACACATTCGCAAGCGCGGGTTGTTTGTTGCATACGCCATTCTTTATAGAATTGAAGCTTCGCTCAGTGTTTAGAAAATTACATCAATAAATAGTAGACGTATTTGTTCGTGGTTGTTTCGACAAGAGTGCCTTAAATTTAGAATTGTTCAGCATTTCATATCTATGTCATAATCACACTCCCATAATCGAGATAATCACGAATTGGTGTTGCTGGTATAAAAATATCAATATGTAAATACTGCATTTAACGAAAGTTATTTCAATATAGCATGAGAATACTCTGAGAAGTACTTATTTTTTTCAAATCATGTTTTTAACCTATAGGACAACTCTACGTTTAACATCGCCGAGAAAGCGGGAGTTGCCCTACTTATCTTATACTAGTGACTATGGTAATAGGGGTTAAAGTATGAAATTGCCGATTTGTACTGAAAATCTAAATTGTTTATTTTTTAAATTTTTAACAAATTTATTTAATCAAAATAGTTGCCATTATTATCTATACATTGCTGCCATCTAATGGGAAGGTTATTAATGCCTTTGCGATAGAACTCCAACGATCTAGACTGCACAAACTGTGTGAAAGCATTTTGTACTGCCTCCTGGGAAGAAAACTTCTTGTCACGTAGATAATTGTCCAAATCACGAAAAAAATGGTAGTCCGTTGGAGCAAGGTCTGGTGAATACGGAGGATGACGAATGGTTTCTAACTGCAGTTCCTGAAGGGTCAAAATGGTTTCTCGTGCTGTGTGAGGTCTCGCGTTGTCGTGGAGCAATAATGGTGAAGATCGATTCATGAGTCGGGGCTGTTTTACTGCTAGTTTTGTCAACATGGTTCGGAGTTCGGCACAATAGACATCTGCCGTTATTGCTTGACCAGATCGGAGAAAACTATAGTGAATAACACCATGCTGAGACCACCAAACAGTTACCATTACCTTTTTATTGGTAAGTTTTGCTTTAGGACACTGTTGTGGCATTTGACCTGTGGTCAGCCATTGCATTTTTCTTTTCCGGTTATCATAAAGAATCCACTTTTTATCACATGTTACAATTCGATCCAATATTCCTTCATTTCTGTACCGGTTCAACAAGGCAACACAAGTTTCAACACGCGTTTCTTTCTGCAGATCAGTCAAATCATGAGGCACCCATTTTTCGTATTTTTTTATTTTATTGATTTGACGCAAGTGAGTCAATATTGTGGGTAAGGTAACGTTAAACCATGCCGCTAATTCCTGGGTAGTTTGACTAGGATCGGCTTCCACTATCTCTCTTAATTCATCGTTATTCACCTGTGTGGGCGGTCTTCCTCGTGGCTCGTTCTTTAAGTCGAAATTTCCATCACGAAAGCGTTTAAACCAAAATCGCACGGTGCGTTCATTAGTAGACCCCTCTCCAAACGCAGCATTGATATTGCGGGCTGTTTCTGCCGCGTTAGTTCCGCGTCGGAACTCGTATTCAAAAATCACTCGAATTTTCGCAGTATCCATCTTTCTTGTTTAAATTGAATAACAAAAACAATTGAAAGTCAATATTCAAATGTTTCAAATTAAAAAAAAAAAAATCACAGAAACCATTTGAAAAAAGTTTCATTCGAAAACCTCAAACCATGAAGATTCTATGAAAATTCAAAGAACCTATTGCAATAAAACGGCAATTTCATACTTTAACCCCTAATATTATGCGCATACACTACGCGATCTTTAATAAGAATCTGAGATATATAGATAGAGCGGGCTAACAATCGATCTATTGAAGAGGAAGTTCGAGTATCGTGTAATTTTGCGAAATGGTCCCGTGGAATGGCCACCTGCTCACACGATCTAATGCAGTTAGATTAGTATTTATGGAGTTACGTTCAGTCATTAGTTTATGCCACTGTTTCCCAAAGTGGTCTCTACCAAAAAAAATTTGATTTTAACAAAATGTGGGAATTGTCTAATTCTGCCCCACATGGGGGTACTTTGGTACCGATGTACCAAAGTATCTTCTTATAGTCGCTTGGCGCACTTAGATGTGTGAATCAACGTAGTGTGCCATTCCTGGTTGCCACGTACTATCAGCACTAGGTGATCAACTATTTATAAAGTATGATGCTATATGTGCCTCAGCACTTGCTAGATCAAGACTTCTTTTTAGGGCACCATTTGAAAAATGCTCTTTGTAATGTAGTCTAGGAAGTAGAAATACAGAAGGAAGAGCTGACTATAGCGCAAAATGCCACTAGTTCAACCCTTTACAATAACTTGTTAAAATAGTTTTACATTTTTCGTACATAATAACTAATAGGAGCACTTTGATACGTACCAAACTGCCCCACTCACTAGTGTATAAAAGTACCCCACCGGCCAGTTTAGAAAAAAATATTTATTAAAAAATCTTTATATACAGGGTGTCCCAAAACTCAACTATAACCTGGGAAGAGCATGTTGAAAATTTCAAGAAAAAAATTAAATACAATATATTTTTGTGCTGAAACTTTAGCAATTCGGGCTTTCTTTGGTATTATGTACATTAGCTGGGCTGTTTGGGTTACCGTTACAAAACTAAAACAGCAAAATTAGCAAATTTGTAATAGTAGCACTTAAAAATGGTGTACATTTTCAACATTTTTCATTAAAATGCTTATTTTATATCACTAAAAAGATGACTCCGATTTTTAAATATTTTTTTTCTGGGTTGTTACAAGCTAGGCAACATCCTGTTCTCAGGTTATCGTTGAGTTTTGGGACACCCTGTATACTCTCAAAGTAACATGCTATTCTAGTTATTGAAAGCACTAGTTTACCCTGTATTAAGGCATAAAACCCTGTAAAGTGAACAAAACTGCAGAGGCACTCGTATTTGTGTCGCTTATGTTTTAAGTCAACGGCTGTGAAAACACTTTGTGATCTGTCGAACGACAACGGCTAACTGGTGAGCTGCATCATCGCATGTCTAACACTCACACGTACGAAGGCACGTTTTAGTTTTATCAGAACTAATATAAGGTGTATGAATGTGCCCCCTGTATCAAACTGCCCCGCTTCCCCCTATGTACCTGTTGTTAGAAAATCATAATCTTTCTGCAGAGAAAACTCTTATTGAGATTATAGCTTTTTTGTTATTGAGTTTCACCTGCAGAAAGATAGTGATTTTCTAACCATAGCTACATAAATTAGATATTTTGTGGAAAATGTCACTTATGTGGTTTTACCTTTAAACAGACGATATAGTATATTTTTGTGATTTTTTTGTTAGTTAATAAAAAAAAAATACACGTTATCAATAATTTGTGTAATGGTGAGCGTTGAAATTTTTTTATCTTGTCTACGTGGACGGTGAACCAAAAAGTTTAGGAACCGATGGTTTATGTCAACAAGCTAACAACGACGTTAAATGAGCTAAGGAACAATATCAAATGCGAAATTGTCAACATTTCGACCAATATGTGTTCCAAAGAATTGAACACTGCAGGCGTGCTCGCGGTGGTCATATGAACGACATCGAATTCTATTCTTAAATGTAACATGTGTACTGCACTTGGAATAAATATCATTTGGATATCTGAATTATTCTGAGTTTTATTGAAACATAAAACTGTTATATCCCAATTGAAAAACCTGATATCAATACCAAATTTATATACCTGTGCATAATATACAATATACCTATATTGACTTACTTTCTTGTCTTGATGATATAAACCAATATCAGAATGACGCAAAGTAAGGCAAGGAACCCGGCAAGACCAGCTAGTACGTAGACTATAATACGACTTTTGTCAACGACTGGACTAATATCTGTTGCCATGTCCTGTAGGATCAGTAATTCCGTGCTGAGCGTGCGCTGGATCTGGTGAAGAACTGCTGTGTCGGTACGAATACTGTGAATCAAAATGAAAATGGGGAAATATCAGTCATATGAACAAACACTATCGAACACGTTAACTAATTTTAACCGTCTTTTAAGATAATTGTGTGCTCTATTTTTTGCAATTTAAAACGGATATTTGATCATTTGTCTTTGTGTTTTAGTTAGTGGACGGCAGAAGTATCAATTTACATAAACTTCAATAAAGTTATCATTACACATAACAGCGCGTCTGCAGCGAATCATTGGTTATCTTGTAAAATTTCGAGGTAAGTTTGTGTTTTTTTTTATCGTGAAATCTTTTAGTAATCGTGATTCACACCGTATACTAATCAGTGTATATCCTCTTTTTTTTTAACCGTCTTCAAAAAAAGGAGTAGATTCTCAATTCGCGTGTATTTTTTTTTGTATGTGTGTTTCGCGATAACTCCGGTATTTGTGAACCGATTTTCATGATTCTTTTTTTGTTGGAAATACCCTCCATAGTGATCCCGTTTGATTTTGAAGAAAATCATCCACCTCTAAGGGTGGCTGTTCACGCATGAAGATTCATTTTAATAAATAGCGCCTAAATTTTATTATAAGGAGCAATTATGTTAATGGTTGATTTTGCTAGGCGTTTTTCTCTCAATGTACTTTGAGTAGTGAGACCCGATTTTTATTATCTCCTGTGTCAAGTCCCGTATAATAGCGAAATAGGGGATGGATTTCAATAAAACTTGGTAATTATATGTAATTCCACGTACTTTTGAGGTCGGTTTTTTACTATGTAGTTTTTTCAAAGCGATTGATCAACACTCACTGTATCAACTAAAGCCATTTGAGGTTGTATGGACCGCGGATGCGAAACGCATAACTTCTATATTTTTTTGATGTTACTAGTATCTAGTTTTGTTTTTATTATTGACATACTTATAAAGCTTTTCCTCGTCAGTTTAAGCCTTTTCTACGTTAATAAATGTTCTGACCAGTAAATACAAATATATTTTTCTCGGGTCCCTTTCAAGGTTAGCTCGGTATATGTTACAAGAGACGGGTGAGCTTCAAAATATAAGTACATCGATCACGGCTAGATATTTTCTAAAACTCCGCGGAAATTAGGTTAAAGGATACAATGTTTTATGTTCTCATAACTTAGAACATAGACCTTCACGCCAATATGCACTCCAAACTTAAATTTGCTACCCCTCTTTTTTCACGATTAGAAAACTGTACCTCCAATCAATACTACCCCAACTTATTTTTTGGTCATTTTCTGTTATTTTTCTAAACGGCCATATTTATTTACTAATATTATGCTATTACAAAATTCGAAAAATGAAAACAAAAAAACGAATTTTGTGAAAAAAAGAAACAGAAATCAAAATAAAAACAGAACAGGTCCAAAAATTAAGTTGACATAGTGTTCATTTGAGGAATTGAAAAGTAGCTTTCGCTCGACTCAATTGTGATTTCTGTTCGCCTTTCATGTCAGATTTTTTTTTATGTTCGCCTGCCGTTGCGTTGTTCAAAATATTGTTTTCACAATTACAGTACCGGCACGCTATGATGGCCGTTTTGACAAATTACAATAGTGAGGTCAAATCTCAATTCGTTATCGAAAAATATATAATCAAATGCGAGTCGCATCTATAAGTTTTCAGATTTATAACTAGTATTGCAACGGGTATTGCTGATTAAAAAGTTTTAATAAAATGAAAATAAATATGTTTACTTAAGATATCGTCAATTCGAAACTGCTTTGTTTTGCATATTTTTTATTATATTTCATTTTTAAAAATTTCGAATATCGAAAAACAAACCACAAGTTGTACCGTAAAATTAAACATTCCATATAAATTTTATTGCACCTCACTATTGACAATAATGTACAGCAATTAGCTCCTTCAATGTGGTTACGAATTAATACGAAACTTGATGAGCGGACAAACGTCAAAACATACATAAGGACATAGCGTGCCGGTACTATAGTGGAATTTATTTTCTAATTTAAAAAAACATTCATTTTGGTTAGTTCGATACTCCATTGCTGTACCTCCCGAGGCCATGGCTCCTTCTGCATCCCCCACGTTCGCTACGCCACTGTATACATTAATTACAGTTCTGGGCTGACTGCGTTCAAATATCCGAATACCGATAGTTCATAGATAGAAGACATACGCTTCAATAACTTCAACTGGGACTGGTCGGTTGTCGTCGATGAAGTGAGCCCGCACTTCAGTAACATCATCCTGTGCGACACCGGCGTTGTTGCTTCCTCGTAATACGTCGTCGATGATACACTCCATGTCGAAGCCAGTTGAAAGCGTGTCGGCGATCTGTCAACAATATAACAACACGAGATGCAGTTGAGGTTTTAATGGCAAAGTTGTCTGTAGTACGCACAGAACAATAAATACAGTAGAGATGCTTAGTGGGCGTGACACGTATGCCAACAGTATGCGAAGTTCCGTATACTTGAGCTCAGTCTGCCATTTAGCTTTGTAAATTTGGAACTACGACCAATCATCAATATTTCATAGTGTATATATAACATTATGATAGTGTGAGTTTTGGCGACAACAGTTCTGATAATAATCGAGGCTTAAGCTCCTTCCATTGTTTTTGTCTTCCGTGGTACTACGTACAGAAGTTGGTTTTTTAAAGTAACTTACGAAGTTTCTGTGCTGTTCAACTTGAGCCACAGTGTTCAAGAATATAAAGACAACCCTGTTCCCGGACGATACTATGTAGATCCTGACTTCCGTTTTGTCCGTTTCACCAGCTGAAATTATGACCATTATTTAACTGTGAATAACAAGTAACACATTGATTTTTCAAGCTAAGTTCTTTTAATTTCAGGAATAGGTACCCATTGACAAGAATTTTACTACAACACTCACCGGGATCAGTAGCAACGACATCGAACTCGAACATGCCTTCCATAGCCGCGTTAGGTTGCATATTAAGAGTCAGTACGCCAGTAGTAGGGTTCAGCAAAAACGGCGATTCACGTACAGCTTCCAGACTTGGGTCTACCACCATTGAATCTTCGTCTATCGTGTACGTGATAGTTGCCCCATCAGAATGTGTAGCCTATAGACATTGTGAATTAAAGAAAAGAAAAAAATGTGTGATTTTCGAAAGTAAACTAACTTCTCTATATATTTCGAGTTGATCTTTTGCTCCGTTGAGGTAAAAATAAACAAGCAAAGAATCATAGATTACAATGATTCCAGGACAATGTTACAAATATTTTGTTCACTAATTATACTAACATCCATAATTGGGCTTATTAATATTGGTATTGATTTGTGCCCTTGAATCATAGATTACAATGATTCAAAGACAATACCAGATATTTGTTCACTAATTATACTCACGCGCACGGTGAGAAGTTCCCTGCCAATGGGATGGTTGATAGAAAGGCCAGCCAAGTAGAGGTCTTGTACGAAGTTCGGTCTGGGGTTTGCTTCTCTCACCTGAGCAAAATGTTAAATCATGAAATAATCACTTTATGGATCCCCTTAAATCCCAAGTTTTAACAAGTTACAAGAAGCCGTAATCATGCTATTATTGAATGACTAACAGCAATATTGACGGTAAGGGTAGATGCAGGCAGTGGGTTTCCAGCGGTCAAACTGTTGCTGGCAGCTACATTGATCACGTAGGATTCGGCTTGCTCACGATCCAGCTCTTTTAAGAGGAAGATCTCGTTTGTGTCCAGACCGAAGTAACCATCGTCGTTCCCATCTGTAGATCACAAATCAGTAGTGATAATTTCTTTTGTAAACAAAACGCGTAGTCTGAAATTATATTTTATTGCATTTTGACAAACTCTGCTATAATGTGCTAGACTTTTATCGTCAAGCTCACCAAAGATTCTGTAATAAATCGGAAAACAGTCATCTGTGCATCGCTCGTTCTTTGGATCTTTGGCATCAGGTAATTTGAATATTTCTTCCAAACCGCCTTCTTTTTCTGAAACAGAATCGAATAGTTAAGGTTTTTAGCTTATTGTTTAATTACTTACATTTTCTTTATAATTTGGTACTCACCGAGGAAAGCTACATTGTATGTGTTTTGTTCAAATACAGGATCTCCTGAGGTAGGTACGTATATTACATTCAACGTAGTTTCGGTGAATCGAGTCCCAGGCTCCGTACCGCCGTCCGTTGCACGGATTACTATCTTTTGAAAATAAATAAAATTCAAACTGATTACTAGTTTGTGCCATTTAGCATGTCATTAGCGGTCACTGACTTTCATTCCGAAATGCAAGTTATGACCCCCGACGTCAAATATGCATCAAGGTGATTTCTACCACGGTACGCTAATAATAAAACTCCCGCAAGTTACTGGGAACATAAGAGAGTATCGTTTCTATAAATAATTGTATGCAGTGGTAGGAAGGGGTGAAAGATCGCCATTGAGGTGTTAAATGGCACTTAGTGTAGAAGAACATTAAGAAAGGATCATGAAGAAATAGAATAATAGAAATAAATTATAATATCTCCTGTTTAAAAAATAGTATTGCATTGTAAAGGTCGGTAAGTAAGGGATCGCTCGACGAGTAAGAGTTACAAGGCCGAGCGTCAGCGACTCCTTGTATTAATACGAGTCTAGTAATTCCCATCCCCGCCGAGGGTTGTGTAGTGCTTTTTTCAAACGATGCGAGGAAATAATGAAAGACTAAGGACAACAAGATGAAATAAATTTATAAGATAATCTCAGTACAGACAGAGTACTAAAAAGAAATTACGTCTATTTGCCAAGTTTTATTGAAATATCCCCTAGTTCGCCACTTTGCAGGTCTTGACACTGGAGATAATAAAAATCGGTTCTCACTACTCAAAGTATATCGAGAGAAAAACGCCTTGAATTGGAGAAATAGCAAAATCAACCATTAAAATAATTGCTCCTAAATTAAAGTTAGGCGCTATATATAAAAATGAATCTTCATGTGTGAACCCTTAGAGGTGGATGATTTTCTTCAAAATGAAATGGGACCACTATGGAAGTGCCCCTTTCCAACAAAAAAAGAATCATGAAAATCGGTTCACAAATACCGGAGTTATCGCGTAACATACATACAAAAAAACATACAGTCGAATTGAGAACCTCCTCCTTTTTCGAAGTCGGTTAAAAAAGTAAATAAATATTACTTAGTTAAAATTAAAAGTAATGTTTGACATGTTAGGACAACTGTTAAAAGAAAATATTATTATTTTTCCAGTCACATTAATAGTAGCCGGCTGAACTTGTGTGTTCAGCCGGCAGCCAAATTAAACTGTGCAGTTAGGTATTTTTAATTGTGGCAATTACGAACACTGGACAGTTGGCTGTATGAGTTTTTCTTTTGCCTGTTTCCATAGTACATTTTATTAGTAGATAGATTTTTAAGTTTAGAGCTGGGTGCCTACCACAACCCCTTAAAACAATATTACTATAACCCTACATTGACTTTTCGTACCATAACGCGCTTAAAGTAAGCTTATTGTAATGTTAAAACTACGATGTTTTAATGGCAGCTTTGTGACTATTCATTCACTCAGTTCGTAATATGACGTGACTTGAACATTAAAGTAATATTGCTCTTATGTCAAATCTAGCAATCTTAAAATAGTTGCACGGATGCAATGAAAACAATATTATCTTCAGTTTTATTGTCTTAATATTGATTTGTAATGATTAAAAGTTAAGTTGAACTTATTTATTTACATATATCTCGTCAATATTTTTTTTATTTATTATGAAAATACGCAATGTTTATTTCGTAAAATTATAACAGCGCCATATATTTATGCTCTTTGGCGAAACTAACAGTTGACACTATAGTTCCGAATTCACAACGTGACTATCAAGACTCAGCTTGTTTTATTTATTTTTCTTCATGAAAATGCGGAACAATTATTGAAAACAACGTAATTTTAATAGATTTTATTATTACATAATTTTCTTTTTTTAACAGTCCACATTCTCTGAATGTAAATAACATTAAGTACTTGAACATTATACGATAGACGATTCGGAACATCAAAAAAGAAAGAGATGGCGTATTATATAGTTCATATAGCGTTATCTCTTTCCTATTTTTAGTAAGGAATAGACAAATTGGGAAATCATTCGTCCTTTCAAACACTTTTGCAATGATACATTACTTGGTTGACAGGTTCGTCATGGTGCGAATATGAGTAACATTATAATAAGCTTACTTTAAGCTTACAATGAAATAATATTCTTTTTGGAAAGGTTATGGTAGGCCCCCAGCATTGGCAGTGGACAATAATAGATTTTCATAAATACTTTGCAGGTGATTAACCTTCCGTGTTCGTTTTTTGAAAGTAATGCAAACTTTTCCGAGCATCTTTGAGAAAAAAATGATTTACCTGAAATTCTCTGACCTCTTCGGTGAACACTTGCGTTAGTGTGAGGAATCCTTGGTTCTCTCCTTCGTTTACTACAGCAAAGTAGTTCAAAGCTTCAGCTGTAACATTTAAATGGGGTAATTAATTAAAGTGTTAGTAATTTCTCTCTTTATTTTAGCTATAAGTAAAGCATTACGAACCATATCTCGATACCTCCAATACACCAACTTTATTTTTTGGCAATTTTCGGTTATTTTTGTAAACAGCCGTATTTATTTACTAATATTATGCGCCCCGAATTTTGTGAAAAAAAAAGTAACAAAAATAAAATTGGAAAAAAAACAAAAATCTATTTTTATGGAAAAAATAAAGAAACAAAAAATAAAATAAAAAGAAACAGGTCCAAACATTCAGTTGACGTAGATGGTAGTTGGTATCGATCTGATACGTAAAATTATCATACCATTACCGACGACTTCGAAGTTTACCACTCCTGCATGAAGCCCGTCTTCGTCAGTAGCTGATAATCTGTCCAGGAAGTCACCGTCTACCTTTGCTAACATTACATTGACTGCTGCTCGTTCCTGAAAAAGTAACAAAGTTTAGGTATAGGTATCCTCATTAGTAAGGCTACGGTCTTTCCATGCCCTGATGGGAAAAGGGGTGAAGTGTATATTTGCTTGTATGATTATCAACCCATTATATCTTTCGCTGTTGGACAGACGTGTCCTATAAGGACGGTGTTAAGTCCATAGTACTCTGAGCTGTTGATGTAGTGCGCAAGCGAAAAAGGTCACTGCGGCTGCGGCTCGCCTGCTCCCACCATAACGACGCCATAAATCGGTGTGATCGGACGTGTGACGTGGGACGTGCGCGTGCAGCGCACGTGAATTAATCAAACGTTGTTTCATTGAGCCATCCCTGCACATGCGACGTCACAATGGCAACGAGGATGGCATGCGGGTTGGGAATTTCAGATTCTTGTTTGTCGTCGGCGACAAGTGCTACGGGATTTCGGAGCAGACTAGAAAGGACGTAGAGAGACCGTTGCGACCTTTTGGCGGACACCGAAGGCTTAATTGTGTCGTGCACGCCCCAGAAGAGTTGCGTTAGGGACATATTACAACATAACATATATATCATATCACAATATTTGTACTTTGTTTCGGCTCGTATAACCAAGATGGTTGATAGGGCCATGGGAAGGTTGGTTATGTAACCATATTCTAAGATAAAACTATATTACCCTACTTTTAATAATTCACTGCGACGACACAGCGTTTACACCGAGCGACGCTGTGTTGTCGCATCGTACAGGTCCTTTTGTAAAAAGGTCGTAAGCGCCATTTCGAATTTTCTTTAGTTTTGGTTTCAAGTTTAAATTTTAAAACTGAAATTTAACAGGACGCAGGTTGCCTATCAGAAGCCCGAAATGACTTCTTTCTTTCTAGAAATAACGTTGGCTCGAATTTTCATAACCTCGAAAGTAATTTTGAGAGGATAATGTTTTTTCTTTTAAACCTAACCGAATCTAATCGTGTCTTTGCGCAAAACATCCAACATATTTTATCCTGAAAGAACAACGGTTTCGTTATAATTCGGTTTTCGGGGTACCTAATGAAAATTCAAACAAACGTTATTTTGGAAAAAATAAATTAGAGTTTGTGATTGGTTACCCAGGAGGCTAATATTTTAAAACAGTAGTGAAAACCTGAAACATGCTCCCCTGAAAAATTTTTCGAAATGGCGCTTACGCCGTTTCTAAAAACACTGACGACAGGCAAGTGTAAAAATACCCACCCTGGCAAGTCGTACGAAAGTTCCGCTAACTGGAAACACGAACTCCGGATCGTGGAAGTTGTAAGGCCTAATCTCGATCTCGTAAGTCTCGTTGGACATCTGCTGCGGGATGCCGTGATCGTACGCCTGAAAGAATAGCGCATGGGTCAGAAGTTCACCCTCCTTGCTTCTTGTTCCTCCTTGAGCTCCTTGTCAAAATCGTATCTATTTCTACCGCCAAGTAGCAATGTGAACATTATTGCATTCCAGTTTTGAAGGATAAGGTAAAATTACAGGCACATGGGACTTGTCAACTTAGAGCGATGCCACACGGGCGCTGCGTCAGCGTTGCATCGTTGCAACGCAATGATTTCAATGCACCGAGTGCCATACGAGCAGTGAGGAGTCGCAACGTAACGCCGCTGTCTTTCGCACCGTAGGTCCCTTCCTCGCTTTGTCACTGGCAGCGCCCGTGTGGCATGTAGTTCTAATTTATATGCAGCACTACGCAGCGTCACCGCACGCATCGCAACGCCGATGCAACGCATCGTGTGGTGACTCTTATGTCTCAAGGTGACGGGCGCAATGGCAGTGCTTTTCCGATCTTTGCGATACAAAGCTCTGAGTGGCACTGCAACTACTATGGGTAGGCGTGTCCCCTTTCCACCAGGTGCACGATTTATTGATCCCGTAAATTGATAAACATAAACAAAGCGCGTTTCTGCAACTGCCACCAATTCTGCGTTTCTGCAACTGCAACTGCTGTAGGCAAATAGGTCCTCCCCGCACGACGTACCATTCCTTTTCTGTACGTCTTGCGAATCCGAGGTATGCGCGAGTACTTTACGCCTAAGATTGGCAAATGCTTTCACCGCGATGGCAAGTATTATAGTATGCGTAAGGGTGCGTACAGGTTTGGTGAATGCGCCGCAAATGCGCTGGTTTGCGAAAGGCTTTTTAACACTAGTGCTGCATCGGTGAAGCGTCTTATTAGAAGTTTGTTTTTTGGCGAGTAGGTAATTAATTACCAAGTGTTGCGAAAATATGGAAAATATTATTACCTACACAGTATAGTTACTAGTTATAATTTAGTGCTCATTAACTTAATGTGTGTCTATCGGTGAGGATCTATAAGGCTCTACATTATTGTTTCAGTTTTGACTCTGTAAGATAGCCGTTGGTCTTCCAATAAGTTAAAATATAAATAGAAATAAAAGGTTCTCGAGGTTGCATTATGTCGTGCGATCTGTTCGCGTATCGTTCTCGAGCCGCTCGCGCCCCAAGTTTAGCAACATGTATTTACTTGCGCGTGCTGTGCGCGTGCCGTGCACGTGCCGTGCGCGTGCAGCACGCGTGCAGCGCGTTTGCGGCGCATTCGCCAGGTACGTACCCATAAGATAAAACACGTTATTTTAAATAAAACTGGAGTCTTTATACAAAAGGGCAATTTCAAAATCTATTCAAACATTTTGTTGTTTAATAATGCACAGGAGAATCACAAAACTTATAGTAGTATTTTGGTTTAATAATCTATAGAAACATACAATGAATAGCGACATCTCTAGCCGGGGCTGGTAGCTGTAAAGGTATCTGACTGGGTGACAAAATACCATAGATTTCTCATAGATGGCTCTACGGCTAAAAAGTCGTTGAAAAACCAAATGCAAAGATACGACGCAAGCACATAGAAAAATTCGTGAGGTCCGCTGGTTCGTTCCATGGCTTAGTTGATATAGCGTCTGGCACGGTATTATAGAAGACGTCGGTTCGAATCCGGCCGGATCGAAGGAATTTTTTCTGAGTGTTCGTTCTTTGTATTAATTAAATAATTTCACATAAAAATAATTAAATATCAATTCAATAAAAATTTAAATCTGTAGAAATTGTTTTAAAGAACTGGAATAATCTTACCAATACATGTATACTGTATGTTCCCCAGTACCCTTTTAAGGGCATGGCTACTTCCAATTCACCGGTGACGTTTTTTATTTGGATCATGTGGAACAGCTGTGGCACACTGATGTCTCTGTCAGTAATTGTGAGATCTAGGATAGCGTAGCCGACACGCGAATTGTCAGTGTCCTCTTCGTCATCATCCGGGGCGTAAATATCAGGCACGAGGCGATGTCCCTGTGATTATTATTGGAGCTTTAGTGTAAAATGCGAAAATTTAAGTATATCAACCATCTTGTTTCGAAGTTATGGCTTACCACTTCCTCGTTTTCTGAGATGCTCCAGCTCTCATCAGCTGGCAACCGCGGTGCATTGTCGTTTACATCCAACAGGATTACCAGTATTTGTGCTGTATTTTGATTTCTTCTACCGCCTGAAATTTTTGTATCTATGTGTAGACATATATATTATATTATTCTTATTAAGAGTCTATTCTACCTCATATGCCTTTGGTGTGATTTTGCATAACAGTCAAAGTGTTGAATCAATCGCTTTGTGTATACGGTGTGAAAATACGATTCCTAGAAATTTTCACACAAACGGACCTCGAAATTTTACAAGAAACCCTATTCAATAGGTACTTTACATATACTAATAATTTTTTTTATATCAACTGAACTAAAATAGAACACGTACAGTATATTTTCAAATGGCTTTAGTATTATTAGTAAAAGAAAAAATTCTGAAATAAAGCCGGTGTCCCTGCCGATCGCCGTAAGCTAAATGAACCGTAATAAGTAGTACGGGAAAATTTTGAATTCGAGGTAAGCTGGACTCTTAAAGAAGTCTTATATAATAACCTAACCTAAACTCCGGTTAAAAACCGACCCCAAACGTCATTCATCCCCTAGTTTGCCATCCTTAGAGGTGGAATATTTTCTTGAAATTTAAATGTGACCACATCTGAGGTACCTTCTTTTCAACAAAAAAAGAATCATCAAAATTGGTTCTCAATTGGTGGAGTTAATGCGTAACATACATACAGACGAATTGAGAACCTCCTCCTTTTTTGAAGTCGGTTAATTAATCATTAACTGCCTCCGTGGCCGAACGGTTACCATGCCGAACTGCCACGCAAAGGTCCTAGGTTCGATTCCCGGGCCGGAAGAAATATTTGTACGGCTACATTTATTTCCCTCGTGAGTTTGGGTGTAATTTGTAATTGTCAATGTGTGTGTCCATGGCACCCGCGGCACAGGGATTTCCTATTGCGGGGCTATGTTGAGTATACACTCTACGGGTGAGTCGAGTTATGAAAATACTAATAAGTCTACAAACGATCTAATACGAATAAAATACGCGTAAATAAGTCTGTAGTCTGCGAGCATGTCATGGATAAACCTGCACACTCAATGATTTTTTTCTTAATTATTTAGACAAACCCCCTTGCAAAAGAAGTCCGTTATCTACCTAGAATGGTGCGAGAGGCCATTGAAATGAAAAAACATCCTAATTTGAACAGGAAAAATATTTCCACGTACAACCAGTTTGGCAGTCCCAAGCAGATAAGATAAGACTACAGTACTAATTAATATGTTTTAATTTATTGTAATTAGCATTAACAAATTATTAATAAAATTTAATTTATATTGTTAAAATAAAATAATTAGTAAAACATATGTGGTGTAAAGTGGAATGTTCTGTGCAAAAAAATAAAGAACTTTTGTGACAATAGCAAAAAATAGGGCGATTTGCATTAATATTGGACTTAACTGGTCTTTACCATCTCAGTCAGCCGTGACCATGGGATTAGTTAAAGGCAAAGGGATTAGTAAAAAACAAATATACGCGATTTAAATGCGGAAAATAGTTTCATTTCCTAATACTATACTAACTAACTATAAGAAATAAATTATGTAAATGAGATATTTTATAAATCTCCTATTTATGTACAAAAAAGTTAACGTCGAATCAAGTTAAGGTAGAATCTTTAAACCACTCTCCTGAAACGTTGTCATTTTGCAGATGTGACCTTATTACACTGTATTGAGGGTGAGATGTGGTGTGGATATATATTTAGATATTTTCATAATTCTGCAGTTTTTGATTGGAGTCATTGATGATTTACCGAAACATTATTGATGATTTTTTTAGAAGCAGTAAAGGTCCTTGTGAAAGAGTTCGTCTAGGGAAGTACTGCCACCTTACATATTTCTGCCGCCAAGCAGTAATGTGAGCATTACTGCGTTCCGGTTAATAAGGGTAAGGTGCTGGTGAGATTACAGGCATATGGGACTTGTCAACTTATGTCTCAGGCTGACGGGCTAGGCGCATTGTCCCAAAGATCTTTGCGATTTACAGTTCTGAGTGACACTGTAACTGTTATGGATAGGCGTGTCGCTTACCAACAGGCCCACGACTTGTTTGTCCCGTCACTTGGTAGTATGTATAAAAAAAAGTAATTGGCCTTGTCTAACCACAACCATCACATAAAAAGTTTGACTACAAACCGCCTTCAAAGTAATAGTTGTCAAAAACGTTAAAGAAAATCCTGTGAGTGGGATAGTCTCCATCACGGTCCAGCACAGCGTTCGTGGAGTACTCCACTGTCACCACACCAGTGTCTAGCTCCACCGCGAAGTATATTGACGCGTCGTTCACCGCGAAGTCTATCAGATAGCTGACCGTGTGGTATATTTCTGAGAACGTTAAAATATTATTAAGTTTAAAACGACCCCAAGTTTCTCAGGTTGCTGATACTCCCCACTTCGTCTTTACGAACTACGATAATAGAGGGTTTTACACAGACACTCTTTCGCTCGTGATATAGCAATTGTACGCGATTGAGTGCGTGTGTAAAGATGTTGGAAAGAAAAGGGAAAGACTATGCGATTGCACTCCAAGTGCGTTCCAAGGTTGCATTTTACGCGGACGCTCTTCCATTGTAATTAAAACGAACACGAGCAATCGCGCGCGAAAGAACGTGGGCCTAAAATCTTCAACCTGGTGCAGGTTTTAATTTATGCGGATAATCCGCTGATGCTGATATTCGCACCAGACCTGGTTTAAACAATGGAAAACGCGAAACATTTTGAAATTTACCATCTCTATCAAGATCATTCGAAAATAGTTGCTGCACAAAATCTCCAGAAGTGGCGTTTTCGAAGATATACACAGTCTCGTTGTACATCGTGGTGTCCGGCGTCGGAATTCGGTTGTTCGTGTCCAGGATTTGAATTGTGATCTAAGGGTTTGAAGATGGGAAATGAATATCATTTTAGACGACATTGAGATATCAACCAATGACAGGGGATCCTTGGATCCCGGTGCCCAATTTCTTTACTGAATATTATCAAAAAAATTAATAGACTGCCTGGGAAACCCAAGTTATCTTACCCAACGTATAAGAGACCTCCCACACTAGCGTCTTTCGAGCATCAGCGTATCGTCATCAGGCGGTGACGCAACGCTACCAGTGTGAAACTGCGGAATGGTGCCAAACGTGCGGGTATACGCCGCGCCGCGTTGGCGCTGACGTCGTGTCGACGCTGTGCGTGCATTGGCAAGACGCTGACGCTCGAAAAACACTAGTATCAAAACTATACAAAGGGGGAACGCTGCCAGTTTCTTGGGCACCTTGCCGTGGGGACCCAATTAAATTCATATACTTAACTAATCCTAGTTTTAATTTTTAAAAGTAGTAGTAGTAAGGACAATTAATTGAACTCTCCAAAGCACGTTTCAGTCATTTGAAGGGATATTGTCAAAACGTGTGTTATCACAAAAGTATAATTACCATCAGTTGTATGATAATGGTTATCATTTTGAGAGAAATTCAGCAAACAAAATTACGGACTTACATTTCCTTCAGTGTTCCAATATACCGGATCAGGTGGACAATCTTCAATATCTTCAGCGTAACATTTATCGCTGGCCACGATGGTGTAGTGCAGTTCCCAACGCGGTGGGATGTCCGCATCAATGGCGCCGTTTTTGTCTACTGAGATCTGGCCGGTGTAGAAGTCTATCTTCACCAAGTCCTCAGGTGTATCGTTTCTGGGGCTAATAAAAACAATATATTCTTTTAATGCACCAAATAAATATAACAGAAATAACAATGGAGCAGAAGGTGAGCCAAGGTGGATTTAACTCTAAAAGAGATCTCTTCCAGCCAACCCAAAGCAGTGTGTAAGAGAGAATGCGAGATAAATATTATAATAAAGTACAAAAATACAAAATAATAATTATACTGTTACTTACATTACACAAGTATTATAAATAAATAGATTATACTATAACGTATAATAAATAGTAACAATACACATTACACAATTAATACATTAAGGTTATTATACAACTTCTGCGTACTTGGATGACTAAAATCCGTGGTAGTAAAACCCGTTTAGCTCTTGAAGAGAGAACTCTATGTATTAGGTCAATGATAGTAAATGATAAACGTGTATGTACAAATGTTTCTTTACAAAGTGCAACCCCTAGAGTTTCTTGCTCATTCTTCTCGGGGGAATCTGCCTTTCAATGAGTGGCAGAGTGATGATTTCAAGTCTAATATGCTTGCTTATCTATGTAATAAAGATTATTTTCATTTTATTGCATGTCAACCCCTTCTAGTGCGCCCGAAGCGTACTCGTAAACTTCCTACCAGATATCGCGACGACCACATGTCCTACAGTGACTAGATTAGTCTTTCCGAATGTAGATGGCGCTTCTAACCATCGACCCTGTTTTACCAAAATATCGCTTTTCATGACCAAATAATATGGTAATAACCACAGACATATATCTAGATAGACGCCGCAAGTACAGCAATTTGTATGAAAACCAAGCGTGCCACATTTTTGTACCCACTATGACGTCACAAGAGCTATTTAGTGATGGAAACCTCCTTCCGCTCGCTCTAAATCGATTGATTGAACGGAATGCGTGTAAACACGCGTATTCCATTCAATTCATCGATTCTAAATAGAATAATTTTTGTTCAAGTATTTGTTGATTGCAAGTAGCCGTAATAATAATATAGTAGAAAAATACTAGATAGATAGTTGTTCTTTTTTTAATCGTTTTTAAAAAATGTTGGTTACTTAAAAAAATTAAGACTCTAATTTTTAATCGACTTCAAATATTGAAATTATTGTCCTTCCAATAAAATGGGCTTATTATATAACATCTTTTATAATAGAAGATCTTATCGATCGATCGATATCGATTAATTTAAATAATGAATACGCACGTCAATATATGAACTTGCGACTGCCTTTATTAATTTTACTAGATGGTTTTCTGTTGGTAATTGATCAAATTGATGAATGCCAAGACAAATGAAAATGTTACTGCTGACAAAATATGGTAAAATCTTATTAATCAGTAGAGGTTTACTTAATGACGGCTTCGTGTTTAATTTTTGTGATTTGTTTATTATTTCTCGGATTTCTAACTCTGCTACTCTGCATATTTGGATAGCATCTTAGGTGGGATAAACTAGACCACCTTCGTCGTCCTCGAAAGCAACGAACTCATATGTATGACCAACTCCAGATTTTTGTAAAGACAGCGCTCTGTTAATTCTTTGCTTTATATGTATTCTTGTATTACTCGTACTACATATCCGGCGATGTATGTAATTATTTGCTCACTATATTCGGACATTCGAGGCAACGTGTTGCAAAAATTATCGAAATTTCCGATACTACTGATAATAGATACTACAAAACTGAAAAAAAAAGCGAAACGTTACTAAACGTTATAACAAAAGAGTTATAGAATTTTACACTTTATCGAGTTCTTAGGTTTTCGCGATTGTTATACATAGGAAATGAAACTATTTTTCCGGATTTAAATCGCGTATATTTGTTTTTTCAAACAAACCGACGTTTCGGGCCCTTTACTGGTCCCATGGTCACGGTTGTCAACTGTGACTAGAATATTTTTAGAATATGGAAAGTGTTTAATGATATTTCAACTACGCATCGTTAGGGTAAGTTCCGATCGTCGTGGTGAATGTTCACTGATCCCACGGCGCCGACTCAACCGGCGAGAGGGAAACCCGGGGGGGTTTTAGTGGGGTAGGCCTTCCAGTGTGGAGGGAGAGTCCCCACATAACCCCTGAGTCTCCCTGGGCTCAGGGGTATCCATAAAAATTTTTTAAAAATAAATTAAAAAAATTAAAAAATTAAATTAAATAAATTTTTTAAATTTAAAAAAGTTATTTGTCACTTAACCGCGTTTTAGTGAGTGGGCGGCAGCATAAATATGTAAAAAAAACAACGAGATGATTACAAATAATGCGCGACGAATGAAAACTATTGATAGCAAATAGATGCGGTATCTGACACTTTACAAAAAAAAACACAATTAAACATGTACTAGAAACTAGGATAACGTACACGATGGTGTATCGCACTTGGTTGTAAAGCGGGCCGTCAATATCGGTAGCAAACACGGAACCGATGATGGTGTCGCTGTCGGACAACTCGCGCACGCGGAATTCCTGCGCTAGAGTGCCGGCACTGAAGATCGGCGGATTATCGTTCATGTCTATTATCGTGATTGTCAATGTTGCTGTGGAACATAAAACGTGGAATCAGAAAAATATTCCTCTAATGCTGGGATTCTTAACCTTCTTTATAGACCCCTCTAAAAATTTCAAAGAGCCCAAGGACCCTTTAAAAAAAAACGAGGATTAGCTTTTACCAGCTATTGCTTACATATGAATAGTTGTTGCGACGGTTGCTGCTGCATATGTTGAATTAGAACCATGATTAGAATTATAAATTGAATGTTAAATTATTTCTATATTGTAAGAAGGTTAAATTAGCTACAGTAAATGAACACCAAGAAACAATATTACATTAGAAAAAAAAAGAGGGCACCAAGTCTGCGTATGTTGTCTAAAGATGGTACATTTAAATTACCGAAATATAACAATGTGTACGGGAAAAGAAACTTGGCATACTTCTCCCCCGAGGTATTGAATGAAGTACCGACAAATATTGTGGAAAAGATCGCAAATGGAAGTAAAAAGCAAGGTAAAAGAACTATAAAGCGTTGTCTTATTTAGAGATGTAGTATGCGTTAATGTAATTAAGATTTATAGTTATTAC